CGGGCCACACCTCCAGGCGGAGCTGTGGGGGCGGGGCCCGCGTGTCCGCCCCGCCCCGCGGGCCACGTGAGCGCGGGTCAGAGGCGGCGCGGAAGACGGCTGGGGATTCGCACTTGGTGCGCTCAGCCCGCTTGGGGACCCCCCTCCCCTAAGGGTGAGTTTAGCAAACGTGCGCTCGGGCGCAGGAAGACGTGTCTCTGCGCCACCTCGAGCCTGGGGCCGAGCTGGACACACCCCCCCTCGGGGTACACGTCCGGGCGAAGGGAAAAACGCGTTTTCCGCCTGCGAAGCCGAGGGCCTCGCTGCTGCGGCCGTGAGCGCACCCGGTGGCCCCCGCCCGCCTTCCCCCTCGGACCCCTCGTTAGCTGCGGTCACCTTCCAGGTTTACCTGCTCGGTTGGAGCAGTTTGCGCGCGCGCGCGTGCGTGTGGCGTGGGAAGGGCGCACAGAACTAGAATCGACTCCCTCTGCCGTCCTAGTATATCCCCGTTTCATTGTCTGCAGGGCACACGGTGGGTTTTATTTTGGTGTACTTGCTTTATTAGCTGACACGCAGCACGAAGTCAGTATCTATCGGGTAAACGGCCGAGTGGGTCAGAAGTGGTTCAACATGGGGAGGGAGGGGGCACGGTGTTAAATGTAAGAAAACCAGGCAGTGACTATAGAGGTCACAGGCTTATGTTGTGAAGTCAGCCTCCTCCAATGCCAGCTCCCCGCTTGGCTTTATTAGGGCAAATCCCTTACTCTGAGTTTGTTTCCTCGGCTGTGAAACTGAGATGACTATCTGTCCTGTAGAGTTAGTGTAAGGAGAGGGCCAAGAAGTGGAAACATGGATCTGCCTAAACACCGCTTCCCACCGTGGGCGTCATATCACCGTATCACCATACTCAAATTTTTCTTAGTTTCTTTATTGGTTTTTCAGTACAGTTAACTCTTCCTACGTTGACAAGGATTTTTATTTGTTTTACATTTTGTCACTTCCAAGTCTCATGACAGCCACTAGAATACACAAAACTACGCTCTTCACTCTGTACAGAGAGGAAAATAAAACTCCATTAAAAGTTCACTTTGACCAAAGAAGAGACAACCTCCAATGGAAAACCACACACGGGAGGACCCAATATACATATATATATAATGTATAGATATTTATAGATATCTCATCTGAAAGAACACAGCAAAAAAAAAAAAAAAAATCCAACTTGCAGCACTATCTACAGTAAGAGGGATTAATTCTACCAGCTTTCAAACAGTCACGTTCAATATTCAAAGGAAGCACGTGAGTGAACAGAACTGGGGACAGACTAACACTCCACCAGGCTCTAGAGCAGTCTAGCAATGGCTTAAGATTATCGAAGAGGGGTATATGTGCAGAGGAAACGTGGATGCATGGATGCAGGTGTCCTCCCAGCCTCAGAGCACCCCCTCCCCCCACACACACACCAGCCCTCCATTTTTCATAGCTCTCTCCCCTCTTTTTACTTATTTTGGGGTTTGTGGCAATTGATTCAGGCTCCAAGACAAATGGCTTCTGGTTTCTGGGCCATGAGATTCTACCTGATAAGGTGGTGGATGGGAAAAACATGGCACAGACCTGGGCTTTAGGTG